AAACGAATACCTTTGGAAAGTTTCCAAGGTTCACAATTTATTTTCTGGGAAAGGAGGTATATTTTCCCCGATTTTTAATCGAAAATGAAAGGCATTTCCCAATAGTTTTCCTGGTGTTCTAAAGTTTTGCGGTTCACTGGTCACTCTGGTTAAAATTTTCAATTTTTTTAACAGATATGTATACTTTATTAAAACTACATACTGTAGACTTTCTAAGTGTCAACTACTCAATTTAATTTTGTTGAAATTTTTAAATTTCACTGTATTTTAATAGTGAAAAAGTGACTTTAGTGACTATTTTTACGGAAATAGTGACTTTAGTGACTTTTTGGTGTAAAAAGTGACTTTTTAGTGACAGACTTCAAAATAGTGACCAAGTCACTAAAAAGTGACCTACTACCAGCCCTGCCAGAGGATCATCACCCATCGTTTTAAACATATGCTGCACTTTCATTGGTGGAAAAATGACAGCACAGCGAACAAAAAATAATCGATTAGATGTTAATCGAATAATTTAAAAAATGGGACATATCTGATTTTGGTGTGATTATTTTGATAAAAAAGAGCGCAAAATTTCATCTCTACCGAGGGGGCAGCAAAACCACAAAATTACCTTGCATACGGGGGGTATTCATTGGATGAAAGGGACCGTGAAAGAGAACACTAAAATAGAAAGTTTTTCTTCTGACTGTTTTCATCTTAGTATTCATCTTTGGCCTAACTAAAGCATGTTACAACATTGTCGTCGAAGAGTTTTTTTTTTAGAAAATTACTTGTGGAACATTTTTCTACATTTAAAAACGATATCTCGTTGTCTTACCCTCGTTTGAGTAATGTTTCAAATTGAGTACCCCCCATAAAAATCTAGAATTCATGGAAATTCACTATAAAAACCATAGTATGTGCTGTATGTGCATAGTATGCCACTTTAATAATGTTACCGGTCTTGCCTGATTATAAGAATAACACAACTTTCCAGGACTGAGAAAATTCACCATATTTGACTTTCTTGTTGGCCTCTGATTAAAAGTCTAGAACATACTTAAGGGCCACCCACAATAGTCCGTCTCCGTCACCGTCACCGTCAGCGTCAACTGACAGCTTGGTTTGAGCCAACGCTATTCCGTTTAGCAACCCACAAAGATGCGTTGCGCTCACTGCACGTCAGTACTAAAACGCTGACGCTGTGCTAAATTTTGAAAATTTTCAAAATTGACACAGCGTCATGTTGCTGTTTTGTTACATCAGCGTAATCAGAAGCGTATGTTGTGCCGTGTTGCTTTGAACACATCATGGAAAACATTGTTAGTAGGAATTTGCATTTGTAAGAAGGGCTAACCCCAATTCCCAAACAAATTCCAGTGATTTTTTTCAATAAAATACAACTAGTGAAATAGCTTTGTATACAATTTAAACTATTGCAATGTTTTATACCGACAGTGAGCATGCATAAGGGCCTATATGCGATGATCGATTCTCTTCGTCGATTTTCTCTTTTGTTAATAACTCGCTAGATTTGACGTTTCTCGGTGCGTTTGCTGTTGCTTTTGATAGTCAATACAACCTGTCACTACTCTGCATTGACCAAATTCTAGAAAATTGTTTCGCTTAGCTGTAGAATGCAATAAGAAAATCGATGAAGAGAATCGATCATCGCGTATTCGCCCTTATGCATGCTCACTGTCGATATATCCTTAAACAATATTGTGTGAATACATGTTTGGCCAACACATTTCGGTTAACGTATGCAGATCGTGTCGCATTGTTGTCTCTTTGAAGGGCCGCAGAGTTAATACATCTCAGAGGAACAACTAATGTACGCCATTCACCAGGTTCGCTGACGTTCCCATCACCATCCCTTCTGGCTCTGGACAGCCGTTGATTGAAGTTGTCTTGAATTGGAGGTAGGTCAACACCTGGATATGGCCGGAGCAAGTTATTCTTAAGAGGAAATGCAGCACCCCAACAATGAAATACGGCATTACTTCATTTGAGCCTGGTAACTTGCCCGGTGCTGGCAAATCCAACTCGCCATTCACCAATCGCCTCCCAAATTCAGAATGCTCGGACTTTTTTTTTAAATACATATTAAATCTTCTACCAAAACAAATGATCAAAACGAGATTATGTTACTGTAAAAACGTAACGCGTCACGCAAGCACTACGTCAATGCGTCCGTCAGCATTTTTAGTACATGACGGATGCGTTGACGCTGACGGTGACGGACTATTGTGGGTGGCCCTTTATACCCTAGCACGACCTAATGTTTTAGTACCACCCTCTATATGAATTTTGGTATGTTGTCCCGATGATGGTCGTATGCTGCCTAACTAAAGCATGTTACGATATTGCTGTCTGAGAGTTTTTTGTTGGAAACGATTAGGGAAACATTTTTCAAGAATATTTGAAAACGATATATCGCCGTCTTAGTCCTCGTTTGGGTGATTTTTAAAATTGGGCATCCCCGCTCAAAAATATAAAATCCATATAAATTCACAGTACAACCATTACACATACTAGTATTCCTCATTTTGGTGATTTTTCTTATAAAGTACTCACTCAAAGATCTAAAGTTATAGGAAATGCTAAATAAAACCAAATTTGCAACTATTCATTATTACTCGGCTTCAAATAAGTTCCAGCATAATTCTGTCAACAGAGATACCATTTTTTTCATGCATACCAAGCTTCAAAAGGTGCAGCATTTGGAATCTTTCGCCGTGTTCATCGGTTTCGGTGCTCAATTGTTTTTCGAGTTAGAGATAGCAATGCAGGAAATGGATTTTTAGGGACATGTGCACATTTATATCGTTGAGCCCGATTATCATACTCTCAGTAATTGATCGGAATCTTGGAGACCGATTTGTTCCGAAATAATTATGAATCACATCTTTAGCGCATCTCCAGGCAACTTTTTCCTTCTTTCCTTTATTTAACGTCGGTCTCTGTTCCGCAATCTAGTGCCAATCACCGACGGACATCGATTGCCATCCATTGACGGCAATCGAATGTGCAGGAAGGCAGCTTCCACACCTGCGTAGGATATCGCACACATTCAACACACATGGGCCGGGACCAACGACTTTACTTCCCTTCCGAAGGAAGACGTGACCAGAGATTTTTATGTCTCAGAAAAATCCCACCGACCTCGGCTGGGATTGAACCCAGACCCATTGGTGTGTTAGAAAGCAGTCACGCTTACCACTACACCACCGGCGCCGGCAACTTTTTCCTTCGTCAAAAGATTGTTTTCGAAGACTGTACTCTTCTCTAGCTTCCTAATATCCGGGCTATTAAGTATTCCTGCCGAACGAATATAATTAAGATTATTTTATCATATAGATATTTACTTGCTACCTTGTTTAAGCTTAGCTGGTCTTAGTTTCTGAAACAAGTCACGCAAACATAGAAACGCTGGCATTTTCTTGTCCAATGACTTAATAAAGTTTTTAACTATCCCTAGCTGATGTGAAGGGGAAGAAGCAAGATTGAGTCTCTGGGAACGAGATTACATTAGATTTCCTTAGCTGGTGACGTCCACGCATTTCCCAATCAGTTTTCAGTATACGACCATCATAAAGATGGCGGTACCAAAAAATTAGGAAGTGTTAGGATATAAGTATGTTTCAAGACTTTTACTCAGGGGACAAGAAGAAAGTCAAATATGGTAAATTTTCTCAGTCCTAGAAAGTTGTGTTATTCTGGCAATGAAAGGCCAATAATATTTTTAAATTGAATAAAATAACAATAAAGTATGATTAAAATCGTCGGATTTAGAGTGTTTTCATTTTTATGGATTGGTAAAATAATTACGTCATGGAAATCTCAACATACCAGCACATACTACGGGTTTTATAGTGAATTTCCATGAATTCTAGATTTTTAGGGAGGTACTCAATTTGAAAAACCACCCAAACGAAGGGTAAGACAACAAGATATCGTTTTCAAATATTCTAGAAAAATGTTCCTCGAGTAATTTTCTACAAGAAAATCTTCGAATGCAATGTCGAAACATGCTTTAGTTAGGCAGTATACGACTGACATCGGGACAACATACCAAACTTCATAAAGAGGGCGGTACCACAAAATTAGGACGTGTTAGGATATTGGTATTACATACACGCTTCCAGGTTCGAAAATATTCTTTTTAAAACTGGAACGTATTTAGTTTATGTATTTTTAAATTGTAAAATGTATTTGAACTCTTCTACAAAGTTGTAAGTGCTCTAAAAATTCACATTTTTGCTGAGAAAACAAATCGCTATCTCTTTGTTTTAAGGATTTATGTCCGTTTGTATAATGTTTTAACGCTATTTTTAAGGGGGTGTATCTTGCAGGTTAGCAGGTATTAGTAGCTGATATCAACGTTATTTTGTTCAGCAACTTATACATCACTTTTACACATACAATTCATAGGGGGTTCCAACGGGATTCCTAATGAATTTTCTATTAAAGTACTAAGTATTTACATTAGGGTACCTGCAAGATACACCCCTTAAAGACAGTGTTAAAAAATATTTAAACGCAGAGATAGCGATTTGCTTCCTGCAGCAGAAATGTGCAGAGCAATTACAACTTTGTAGAACATTGAAAAAAAAAAAAATCAAACAAGAAAGTTATGATAAAAAAAAACGGTTTTTAAGGGGGAACTGCCGTTTGTACTCCAGGGAAGTCGAGAAATTTTCCAACCTGAAAAATTCCTAGACCGGGCCTGGAATCGCACCCAGCCACCTCCAGCATGGTCTTGCTTTGTAGCTGCACCTTTTCTGACTGAGCTAAGGGAGGGGTGTACAACCCCCCTTGATCAAAAATTTTCACCACTCAAGAAACGAAGAAACATTCTAGAAGACATCAAAATGTTACACTCATTATTTTCGTCGAAAATGGCCATGTCCCAATTTCTTTGATTTCGTCCCACTGTGCGCCCGGTCCAAAACAAGCTCTCTAGAACCAACCAGCGGGAGGATACACGAGGCACGATGTTGCATGGCAATACTCACCTGTAGGCCAAATCGAACGCCTGCCCGATCGTGAGCGTAATGTCTGACGCCAGTTTGTTCGAGATGAACACGAAGCACTCGTGCTGGCCACCGTCCTGCTGCTGTTGCTGGTCGCCCGAGTGCGACGAGTGCGTGTCGTCACTGCTTGTGGCACTCAGCGATGGCGTCGCCGAACCGGACCCGGTTTTGGCAATAAAGCTGAAGAACTTTTTTACTCCCTTCTCGTCGGCACAGTAGGAGATTTTGTGCAGCGGAAACTGATGCAGGATCGTCTGGGTGCGGGGTTCCTGGTGGAATAATCCGAGCGATTAGCAATCTGTCTTGGGAGGGAATGGGACTAGGCAACGAACCTGTATCGCAACACCATCGACGCTGATGGTAATTTCGACCTTTTTCGTCTTAACATTACTGCCGCCTTCCGCTTTCTTCATTTGCTGTGTAAATTGCAACCTCCGGATGGCTTCCTTCACCACTTCGATGCCCTTCGGTTGTTCGACTGGGGTGGTACCGAGAAACTGTTTCGGAAAAAAATACGGGTTAGTTTGAGAATAATTCTGGCACTCGGGCGTTGGGATACTTACTTTGACTAGATAAGCGACATGGCCGTTGACCAGCACGTCCGGTGCATGTAACCAGTTGCGACCGTTCTTTGTGTTCTTGGCATCGTTTCCATTTTGGTTGCTGGAGTTCTGCTTGTTCCAGAACATCAGTGTGGACGCCATCGTGGCACCTCGTTCACTTCACTGTCCAACGTACCGACTAACGGCGATGGTGACCTATCTTGACGACACGCGGAGGCAGATCTCGAGCGAATGCTAGCCTCTAGAACGATCACTGCTGCCGCGAGCTCCCCGTAGTTGAACTCGATCAACTCGACGTCTGAAAGTAGAATGAGAGCAAAATGATAAGTTTGTTAACGACTAGTTCTACTGCGAAGTAGTCTCAATTGAGTCAGACATCAGCAGCGGCTCGGCTGCCGTTGTTGATGATGATCGTGACGTCCTGAAGAGACGTTTCCGGTTACTGATAGGGAGCAGGCCGGCGCGCACGCTGAGTTTATCTTGCCATTTGCCGCGGCCTTATGTGGGAGAGTATTGAGTTTCAGTTGGGCAGGCAGAGATGGCGCCAGATCCTAACTGCGTACTGTGGAGAATCTTGCATTGCGCTTGTTCGCCAATCAATTGTTTTGACAGGAAGCTTACTTAAATAGAATACGCCTCTCGTGTCAATGGGGATTGATTGTAACACACATTCGACCGACAAAGAGCTCGCGCCATTCCGAATGACTCTATGTTTACAGAAATCAGAGTTCCGGAATTTCCAAAGTGATAAACCACTTGCCCTAAGGTTTGCCCGTAGCAACATTTCCGAGAATTTGGTTGCATAGCGTTTCCGATGAAAGTGAAATACAAATCAAATTAAAATGCGCCGTCGGAAGCTTTTCAACGCTGGAAGCGGAAAATGATGAACGAAAGGGCAACTATTAATACAAACGGACGGCGAGATACAAGATAACGGACGGTCCGGAGTCGTCGTTGACGTCGTGTGAGCATGATAAGCCCCTAGAGGAATGCGAGGCAGCCCGCGATGCCCGGTGCATATTTTCATGTAGATGTAAGCGCTGTCTGATGACGGTTGCTGCTGGTAGGAAAGCGCGAAATTCCGCAACAAAAACGTGTACATGCAGTTTTGTTTTTATTTTTTTCCCTCGATCTCTTTATTCCGCCCTGTATTTAATATTATGGCACGAATACAGTGATGCTGGTCGTATCATGTTCATCTCGTGGCATGACCCGAGAGGAGCGGTGTACCATGATCATCCCTTCGTAGAGAAATATTTCATGTGTGTTTACTCCATATGTGACCAGTGTTTTCTGATTTTATCGACCCCATTAGACCGGTTAATATAATTCTTTGATGTCGATATACTCATAGAGAAATTCATGTATGATGAATTCGGTAAACGTGTTTGTGTATCTTGGGCTTAATTTGGTTTCAGTTCTGTGTCCGTTACTGTACGATAACGGATTATTTGGTTTATTATAGTTTGTGAAATGTACAAGACTTCAAGAAACCTTCGAGTTATTGCCACTTTTAAGTATCTTAAGGTAAAACAATCCACGGGTTCCCATGTAGAATATTAAAAAAATATCTCAAGTCCACCACAGGGTGATCCGGAATAACTGTCACTTTAAAGAAATTCATTACGATTGAACGCTTGCATGCATTTTTGATATCAGTATATTTCAGATATACTACATATGGGGAAGAGCGCTACTTGGTCAAAATCGCCCATTTCCGTTCTGTCATGCAGAAATCATCAATAATATCAATCACCATGCACAAAACAATATTACGTTTGATCCGATCCGTTAGTTCATAAGCCACAACATGACCCAACAAACAATTTTAGCTGCAGCTTAGCTTATACAGGCAAAAATTAGCTGCATTAGGCAAATTTTGGCTGTATAAGCTAATCTACAGCTAAAATTGTTTGTTGGGGAAGCCTATTACAGCGCATTATATGAATATTTACACTCATTGTTCTGAAAACAAAAGAAGCGCTCCTAGCGAATCCACTTTTTCTACCATCATCCGAACGACGAAGAAAACCTAATGGCATTTCAATGCGTTAGGACGGAATTGAAACTCATAGGACGAATTTAGAATCAAGAAGCAGTGCTAGATTTTTAATAATATCTCAACATTGTTTGACTGTTTGTCAAATCCAACGGTACGTATGGAAAGGTGAATAAATTTAGAAGTTATCTTTGATGAAAACATTCCATGTTTTGTTCAAACCCTTTAAAAAAAGAGAGTGCGGGATGTGCTTACCCAACAAACATTGAGCGCTGAATAAGAGCTTATTAAGACAAAAATATGCTTCTTCAGCTAATTAAAAGCTTAATCAGCTCAAATTGTTTGTTGGATAGTAAGACGGAAATTAGATCAAAACCCCTATAACGCTCAACTTAGCATACTTAAATTCAAATCTCATCCACATTTGATCACAGCTGGCAGACACGTTTTAGTTCCAGCACTTCTGGTATTTAACGGATTTTCCAAGTATGATTCCTTTGTACAGTCAAGATTCCTATAATACGGTTAAAAGGGGCCATGCAATATGACCCGGTATTGACGAATACACGGACCATATGGAATTGGAGCTAATGGGGACAAACTCTTTTTGTAGGTTTATTTGAAGCGATAACTTGCTGGTGTCTCCTGAAAAGCTATTAACAAGATAAATGACCACCTTTTGGGAAAAACCTAGAGCTCCCCGGATTTTTCGAAACCGTAAAAGTGGTCAAATTCATGAAACTGATCCTAGAGATCCGTGTTTTTACCCTTCTTACAAAGAAGGGTATAGATATCACTTGAAAAACCGACTATCGATCCGAGGCCCGGAGGGCCGAGTGTCATATACCATTCGACTCAGCTCGACGAGATCGGAACATGTCTGTGTGTGTGTGTGTGTGTGTGTGTGTACGTGTGTATGTGTGTGTGTATGTAACGAAATGAATGCGCTCACGTTTCTCAGCAACCGCTCAACCGATTTGGACAAACTCGGCGCCAAATGATAGGTCTTGGGGTCCCATTGAACGGTTTTGGAATCGGTGAACCGGTTCCGGAGATATGGCCGGAATAAGATCCGGTGAATATGGGCCTTCACGCTGGATTTAACGGAAAACGTATCAAAACCATCATGCGACACATCAAATTACTACAGAATTCAAAAATAAGATCAATGCAAGTCGTGTTAAGTGTTCCAGACCACATTGGAAACACTTGGACATGTTCCGGGTACCCCGAGGAAGTTGCTTGAATATGAATTGAATTAAAACCCATTAAATCACATTAAAATACGATGATAAGGTGATTGGTAGCCTCACTACACCCGGATATATTCCGGGTACCCCCAGGCAATGGCGTAGCGTCACTGGATGACACGGGGGTGGGGGGCTTGGTCACTGATAATGACAATAAAATAAATAAACTTGAATAAGTAAGAAGGGTCTGATCACACCATAGGTGGATAAATTCGGGTTTTTTTTTTTCGGAACCGCTCATAGACTTCTTATCATAATGCATTTATTGTTGTTACTGGAATTTGGACGCAGGGGATCATGTAACTGTCCTCCGGAACATCCGAAACATTCGTAACACTGGTAAATTCATGAAACTGATGCTAGAACCCAGCGGTTTTTTTTCGAAACCTCTCATAGACGTCTTATCCGAATGATTTTGAAGTTATGACCGCAACTTGGACACTGACAACACCGGGGTGGTAAACTAGAAGATCCGGAACATCCAGAAAAGTGGTCAATTCATAAAACTGATCCTAGAGCTCCGCGGTTTTTTTTCGAAACCACTCATAGACATGTCATCAGAATGAATTCGAAGTTATGACTGGAATATGGACGCTGGGGCTCAAGGGATAGTTCACCGGAGGATCCAGATCGTCGGTAGAAGTGGTCAGTTCATGAAACTGATCCTAATGCTCCGTGTTTTTTTTTTCCAAACGTTTGAATGAATTCGGTGTTGCGACCGAAATATGAATCATGAACATCCACGAGTTTCTTGAAAAAATACGCTAGCTAAAAACGATGTAGGGGAATTTACGTATTCTCGGCAATCTAAGCAGCTTCCGCACTTCTATTAGCTTTTTCTCAGTGTCACGCACACATATGACGTGTCTGTTTGTTTACATTTATCTGCTGCTAGCTATTCTATCCATTCCAATCGACAGAACTGTCCAAAACGGGTAGAAAACGTTTTTAAGGCACTCCAAACTTCTCAGGTGAGTGTGACTATTGTCGGCATCCTCTTTTACTTCGGCAACCTTTCCGTTTAAACTGTGTGTGCCGTATTTTCATGTGCTAATGTTTCATTTGAAGAAATACCTAGCATAACAGATTTTCTTAGCCATAAAAATGAAGATACCCCATTGAAGCTGAAAGACTAAATAATCGTTTAAATACATTCAGCAAAGTGTTTTAGTTAGAAAATACAGCGAAAATAACGTTTAAATTGTGGTTGCCGAAAACAGTCGATGGCTGCCGAAGCCATCATTTACCCTACCTTAAAACGGGGTACCATAAATATTTTTTTTAAGTTGATTCTAAATATGGTTTTCAGCAATGAATGTATTGCAATTTTTTTTTTTCAAACAATTGATTGATTGATTTATCTTTATTAAGGAGGCTTTCAGCCTGAGGCTGGTTCGCGTCAAATCTTTCAAACAAGTACTGAGGATCCTAGGATCAATTCGTTAGAAATTTAGTTAACTGTAATTAAAGTATTTGCACTATTTTTTTAGTTTTATGACCGAACATCAGTATTTTGATTAGGGGTTACTTTGATAATTCTTGATTGAATGTAGAAAAAAAAAATGCGTGAAGCTCAAACAATTTAGTTTTTGAAATATGAAACTTTGAATGAGTATATAGTCAAAAATTATCATAAGCAATAAGAAAACAACATTGAATTGGTGATGGCTATATCGGAAATACATTTCATAAGGTATGGTTTGAGTGCTTTTTCAAACAAGCCAAAAACAAGAAAATTGTTTTATGTTTAATATGTTTGTTAAGGGGGGAGTACACTTAGAATTTTCAAAAAAAATCATTTTTTTTGGCTTAAAATGTTCCTTGGGATGTATACTTTAATTTAGAAAATACTCCAAGTCCGCCAGAATATTCCTTACCGCTTTACGAAGCGATTTCCTAAAACATGTACCGGCGCGCTGAGAGAGCATTGAAATCTTTAAACGCGTTTATCTCGAAACGGGGTTTTTCAAACTGGCGTGGGAAATAACTCTAACCAGTTATCATCAAATTTGGATATCGCCTAGGTTTTCTTGTTTAGAATTAAATT